CATTACAACTCTGGGCCGCAGCCCAGAGTTTGCTTCTAACCCGAGGGGTCTTCATTGACCCCTAGAAGGATTGGCGGCCAAACGGCCGCCAGTTGCAGATGTCGCGGCCAAATGGGCATGGTTGTTCTTCTCCAGCGCAACACAACGGCTACGGCTGGTAAGGCTCGACATCGGCGGTGGCAAGGGCTGTCGCCTGCCCAAAAAACTTATAGGTTTCACAAAATTTTTTCGGCAGCCTTAGGCTGCCATTCCTTTTTTTTTAATTGTTGTCACAGCCATCAGCCGCATCTGTCCCTGCCAGCGTGGCCAACTAAGGTTGCCGCTGGCCAAATCCTTCTTGGGTTAAAAAATAACCCAAATTGCCCAAAAAAGTTTGAAACTATAATCTCCAATTTTGCATAAATTTCATCTGCAATCATGGAAGAAAACCATGAGAAGAACAACCATAATTGTTCTCAAATCCAACAACACCAAACCTGGAATTGTTAAATCCGAGAACACCAAAATATAATCATGGATCGAAAGTAAATTTGATTCTCAATTATTGAACATAAAGAAGCTTTGATATCACTAGTTAGAAAATATCCCTCGGTGAAAACTGTTACCTAATAAAATCTAAGAATGTTCATATTGGATCACTAATCAATAGATCAATAAGCGGAAGCGTACCTGAATCTATGATAATAAATTACTCTTTAGAGTCGTGCAGTTTGTCTTTTAAATCAACACGTTTTCCTAAAAAAATCCTTTATGGGACGTTCGGTTCATTGATTCAGAATCATTCTCATTTTATGTGTGTTTTTTATGAGAGAAAATAATGTAACGAACTAAGAACCATGATTCGAATCATGACACGAATCCCCCTTCCAAACGTCCCTTTAGTTTTCTCATTGCCTTCTTTCTGATGACGGGATGCCAAAAAGAATAGAATATTACATGTGATCTGAGGACCACAACCACTATATACCGATAACTTCTCTGTTATCTTTTAACAATGCTGAAACTTTGGACAGGCCGCCCGCGACCACCGAAAAGTCTGAATTTTTGCCCGAGTACCGAACCCGAATTGCCTGAAAATTCAGGCTGCCCGACCTGACCCGAATTTCACCATGGATGGGCTTCCGGCAGGAGGTGCCTACCCGTGCCCGGTCGGGCTGCCCGATACCCGACCGGCTGCCCAAATTTTCAATTTTTTTATATTATATTTTTATATTGTATAATTTGTATTTATATAATTATAATGTGTACAATTTGAAATTTCAAATGAACAGACGAACTATATAAAAAAAATTATTTCTTTATTGATTTTTAAATTTGTAATTCATGATTGCCTCGTAAAAAATCTTACCAAGAAAAACTCAATTAGGATAAAAACTTAGTAAGGAAAAAAGAGTGCAATCATTGCGGGACGAATTACAAATTTGACAAACTTACAAAGTCTATACAAGATTATAATAACACTATACAAATTAGAAATTACAAAGTAAATAAATATTTACAAATTACAATAATAAAATTTAATTTGAAGCAAAAGGATCGTCTTGAAAATTAAAAGTTAATCTATTAAACTCGTCGATCCATTCTTGGCTTGCCGGTGAGATTGTATCGTGCAAGCGTTGGTCGGAACGATCCCAATCCTTGATGCACACCAAAGGTTCAACAATATCCTGTTGCAATGCGTTTCTCTGTTCTTGAAGTATTCGGCCGGTTGTACTAAATGTTTGTTCGGCTGCAACAGTGGAGACCGGGATTGAAAAAATATCCATTGCCAGTCGTGTTAGGATCGGCCAAGTTAATACTCGTGCCCTCCACCACTGAACCAAATCAAACATTTCACTAATGTTTACAACTAAGCCCTCACTCAGGTACGTCATTAACTCGTTAAATCTGCCGCTGTTGCCGCCACCTCTTGACGAAGATCCACTCCTAGATTCTTCTCCTTGAGTTGTCATCTTCTTGTTCTTCTTAGACAACCCAAAAATATTCAAGAATGAATGTGGATTGTCATCTCTTTGTTGCGGTTGTTCAACACGATGTGTGTTTCTAAACCTACTTTCGTAAGAGATATAGAGAGAAAATATTTTTTTCTTTATAATAGGAAATTGGTCAGTAGTGTCGATAGCTAAAAATTCACCTAAGTTATCTAATCCACTTTCTAAACCTTCTAATTTTAATCTAGGGTCAAAAATAACAATGAAACCATACAACATGGGTAATTTAGACCAATATTTCTTAAACTTCTTTTCTATAGAGGCGAAAGGAATTCATAAAACCTCGTGTGTCCTAAATTCACTAAATAAAATAGACATTCTTAAAAGTTCTCCTAACGCTAATGGTGACGTTGGGTAATAAGTTCCACTAAGCTTTAAGGTAACTTCGTGAAATCTACCTAAAAAGTTATACAAGAGTTCGGCAATTTGCCAATTAGTTTCATCTATAAATCCTGTTCCTAATTTTGCACTAACATAATTTGTTATAGCATATTTATAGGGGATGCATTGTTCAAGCATTATGTAAGTGGAGTTCCATCTTATGGGCATATCTAAGGCTAATGCTCTAGGATTTTGATTACATGCTTGTAGAAATCTAAACCAATCTTGTATTCTTTGATTACTACCTTGAATCCAAGCAATGTTATCTCTAATTCTTTTAATATGACCTGACATTGATTTTAAACCGGA